AGAGTGATTATGGGTCATGTAAACATCATTTGCGATCGAATTTCGGTGTTTTTAGGTGTTCATTATAAGTGGTACTAGTGACCCGATATCTGGTACTATAATAGCATAAAACAGGTACTCTCTTACTCTATGACTGATACTGATTTTGAAAATGACCAAATTTGAAGTGACCCTTTTTTTGTTCTTTCTACAAAACAGGTACTATGTTATCAATAACCAGTACTGAATAGAAGAATACGTGGTACTAATTAATCAATAACTGGTACCAATTGATCAAAACACATTCTCCGACAAAATACCAAATACAATTGACAAAATACAAAATACACCTGGGCAACAACAAAATACACTTGGGCAACGAAAAAAATTACACATGCCCAAAAAACAAAAAATTACACATGCCCAAAAAACAAAATACATGAGTGATCTAGATAGGTTCTTTGCACTGCCTAACCGCAACATCAACTTGTGAAGGAATTCTTTTTTCCCTTCTGCGTCCGGGCTGAGGTCGTACATCCGGAGCATGAATGACATCATCATGATATATGGAGGAAGAGGCCACATTATGATCGTGGTTGGGTATAGGATTGATAGTACCTTGATAAGCTTGCCTATACATCCCAACCCGATAATATGGATCACAAAAATCATAGATGGACATTGACTTACTCTCAACACAAGCACATGCATGGTGACATAGCATCTTAGATAGTTGTCATTCTCTACAAGAACAAGTGCGAGTTTGCAAATCCACGTCACAACTTTTGTCCGCATCAACAACCTCAAACCTCCATTCACTTAATTGCATGATTTTGAGACTCCGGGAAGCATTATAGTGAGATGAAATTATTTTTTCGAGCTTCGGACACAACGGGCCATTAAACTGTGACCCTCCTTCACGTCGATCGTGCATCATGGTCATAATTTGCTTCCGTATGTGATCGACCATGGCTACGATAGGTAATGCCGCCCTCACCCAATTATTCCAACATTCGGCTTGATTATTATTCATGATCCCCCAACGGTCTCCGGTAAATAAAGAATTCTCCCAACAACTTGGGTTAGATTCCTGAAGGAACTTTAGAGCAAGAGGCATTTGAGTCAATATATTATTTATATGCATATCAATTGTTGCCTCGTAGGAGCATACGCAGCTTTCTTAAAAATCAAGGACCAATGTTTCTTATTATTAAGTGGGTAGCTCTTCAAAACCTACAAAAAATGTAATAATAAAAAAACTAACAGAATGTATAAACAAAATGTACATAGCATGACAATGATGATAATGACAACATAGTACTAATGAAATAAACATGCTTTATTATGAATAATCAGTGATAAATTAAATATAAATATAAACAGACTAATTAAGTTTTTTACCTGCTTCTTAAAGTTGTCGACTAAATGTCGCAAACAATAAACATGATGGCTGCCAGGAAAGACCATAGGGATGGCTTTAAGAAGCCCGCTGTGTCGGTCCGTAAAAAACGTGAAGCTTCTTGGAACAGGTAAGCCCGAGGTAAGAAGAGTATTATTCAGCTTCACGCAAAACCACTCCCAATTTTCATCGGTCTCGGCATCAACCACAGCATATGCTAAAGTGAACAAATCATCATTGGCATCCTTACTCACAGCACTAAGCAAAATGCCTTTGAATTTATTTTTTATGTGAGTGTCATCCAAAAATATCAACGGTCGACAACCGGTTATAAAACCAACAAGACAAGCATGAAAGCAAATGAACAATCGGCGGAACTTATTCTGGACAGGGTCAAGCTCACAATCCGTAATGCTTCCCGGGTTTGTCTCACGCACTTTAGTACAATACCATCTCAATTTATCATAAGAGCCCTTGTCTGCTCCATGAATATCTTGCATGGAAATATCCTTCCCTAACCATGCCTTTCTATAAGGCAACTCCAAGCCATAATCCCCATGAAGATCTTTCAATATCGTGTATGGCCTGTAGCTCGGTTCATCTCTCAATTTCTCCTTAATTGCATTCGAGACCCAATGAGAGTCTGCTTTCGGATGCCCCCTTGTCCGAAGATTGGACACTCCACAGGTATGGACTAAATTGCTCTTCCGGATGGCAAAGACCTGATAACCTTTGTATTTTGAGGCATATATTCTCCATTGACAACCCTCATCAGTACAACAAACAATGATCTTCTGTTGATCATTTTTTCGGTACTTGAAAGAATGCCTATTCGCAATTGCGTAGTTTTTAACAACCTTCTGAAATTCATCCGCGCCGCCACTGAACATCTACCCTTCTCCTTTAATGGAGAATCTCCAAGAATCGATCGATTTATCTTGTACCAACTCCGATTCTCCTTCCCGTAACATTTCCCTGCGTTCATGATAAAATAATATAAATTTTTATAAATAATGGAATTAGTTAAGAAATTAATGAATTTGGATATGATGATACAAATACACCATATATCAATAATAAATTCATTAATATTATGAAAGCAACATTACCCGCTCATGTTCATCGGCATAGATTGAACTCCATCCCGTCTTTCATTTCTTCCATTGCCTGAGCTTTCATTTCTTTCAATGGAAACTTTCTCCACAATATTTACTTTCCAACAAAGATGTAACCGAATCATATTTTTTACATCCTCATCATCGGATAAACTAATTCTCTTTTTTTCCTTTGGCGCAATATAGTTTAACATGACGGTTTCCAAACTAACAATCGGCCACCTCTTATCAATGTGAGTGTACACGTCGTCAAGAGTTGATTCAAGGTTCAGAGAGACACATACATTTCATCTTTGTATTAACAACTCCCTAATATATCACTTTGTGCCCCTTCCATGTATCTAACAATAATTGGATTTAAAAAAAAAAGTTCACATTTCCCAGCACATATGGTACCAACAGTGAGAAAAGTGGTATTATATATCCAAACAGAGGTACACAAAATCATGAATAGTAGTACTATGATTATTCTGATCTTATTTTTTTTGTTTTATGCTCAATAACACCTAACATAACCTAACAATAGCATAAATTTAGTATACATGAACAAAAAAAAAGGATTATGATCACTTTATTTGTTTTACGGTAAATATGGACAACAATATTCAAAATTCAATCCTTCACAAATCAAACAAAAATATATGAATTAAAGATGATTTTTGGACTCCAAACTTCTCATATAATACATACATTACTTACTACTTCAAGTTTTCGTCGGAAAAAGTCACAATCTTGCAAGAAAAATAAGAATTTTCGGACAGAGAGATGGGAATTTTTGTGCCCCTTCCATGTATCTAACAATAATTAGATTAAAAAAAAATGTTCGCATTTCCCAGCACAGATGGTACCAACAGTGAGCAAAGTGGTACTATATATCCAAACAGAGGTACAACACAATCATGAATAGTGGTACTATGATTATTCTCATCTTATTTTTTTGTTTTATGGTCAATAACATCTAACATAACCTAACAATAGCATCAATTTAGTATACATGAACAAAAAAAAAAAAAGATTATGATCACTTTATTTGTTTTAGGGTAAATATAAACAACAATATTCAAAATTCAATCCTTCACAAATCAAACAAAAATATATGAATTAAAGATGATTTTTGGACTCCAGAGTTCTCATATAATACATACATTACTTATTACTTTAAGTTTTCGCCGGAAAAAGCCACAATGTTGTCGGAAAAAAAAAAAAAAAAGAATTTTCGGACAGAGAACTAGACTTTTGGCCGGAAAAAGCCCCGATGTCGTCGGAATTGTTGCCTCCGGTGTTCTTCTTGCCGAATTTCGTGTCGCCGGCAAGATGAAGCTGCAAAAGAAAACAAGAAAAAGGGGCCGGCGGCGAGAAGATGAAGAAAAAAAAGGAGGGAAACGGGAAGAGATAAGTGGGGAAGAAGCAACATAAAATCAGATTTTTAGGTAAAGAAAAATAGTAAAATAATGTGTAAGTGGGGATGATGTCACAAATTAATTTCTTTGTCATTTATTTTAATAGGAGAGATTTAAATGAAAGATGAATATGAGGTAGGGAGTAAAATAGATGGAAATTATAAGGAAAGACTGACTTAGAAATTGATTCAGGGATTGAGAATTTTTAAAGAAAGCTCCCTTTGTTTTTAAGGCCCACGCTTTGGCTAAATAAGGATCCGCCCCTCAGTTCAGCAATTTTCTTGATTTGATTATTTCCTATTGTAGAAATATATATATATATATATATATATATATATATATAAATGGATAAATATCTTTGCTTACGGGTTACCTATGTTACATAATTTGTTTTGGTATAGATTTTGGTTAGTGAAACAGCTTTATGGTAAGAGTCAACCCAAGGGATTGTAGTAACCCTAATTCCAAATTCTATAATAAATATATATAAGCTATCCTGTTACGTCGCTTTGCAATACAGAGGATTAATTGAACGTGATCGTGTTTGGTGGAGATTGTCTTGAAAAGGTAATTCACATCCCAATTCATTATGGTTTCATATTTTGATTACTCCATATATACTTGATTAATCTCTACATTTGCGTTTTACAATTTGTATCATTGTGGAATGATGATGTTTATAAATTTCGTATTTGGACTGCCATTATTATGTTGTGAAATTGTTATGGAACATTGAAATCCAATTTGAATCAAATATCCACCGTAAATTCACAAAGTCACAAATTTGTAATCAGCAATACATAATTGGCATACAGTTGGCAATAGTAATGCATATTCACTCTTGATGACATTTTTTATTTATGTTATTTCTTCATTGAAAAGCAATTAAATTTACAAAAGAAGTATGGTGCGGCATTAAAAATTAGTCCCATTGACTACGTCTCTTACAATTTATTTTATTTCAGTTGATTTAATAATTTTCATTATTATTTGCAAAAAAAAAAAAAATCATTATTTTATAGATCAACAATAATTTTAACAGATTTTTTAATATTCAGCATTTATAATTATTTACACTAACGCCGTGACACGCCGTCAGATGAGAGTTGAGACCTCACCACCAAGGAAACCCTGTAATCAGTACTGTGATAGGAAAAGAAATCTGTGTCCTAATTCTTATTTGTCAGAAAATCATGAAAATCCTGCTGCAAAATTAAATTACATATAAAAAAGCTGTGATTACGCCACATAAATCGTTGTAAAACCAATTGAATCATTCCCCTCTCCCTGCCCAAATCCGGAAACCCTAAATCCCTCTTTTTTTTTTTAATTAATGATTGGGGGAAAATTGCCAAATTGTAAATGCATGTCGCGGCGGATCTTAACTGGTTCCTGCAATTGGCGGCGTTGGCACTCGCAGGGGTTTTTGGATTGCTGTACCTGGTTCGAAGCACTGCGTCTAGTTATTTCTTGGAGGAGTCCAGCTTTGGTTCGTCGGCGGCCGATTATTCTTCACTGGACAGCGAGAAAAGAGAGGACATGGCGGTGGCCGGAGGAGGTGCCGCCGAGAGGTTTAACGCCTGCGCCGTTTGTGGACTTCCCAGCACAAAAGTTTGTTCCCGTTGCAAGATGATTAGATACTGGTATGTCTGTTAATTCGACATTTTTTTTTTCACTTGGGATATGAGTACCGGTGTGTGTCTGTATATCTGCGTGTGATTTTATGTGGAAATTGTGCCTTGCTTTTTCCATTTGTGACATGTATTTTAGACTTTAGTGATGATACATGGTACGCAACAAGTTTATAATTGGTTAATGAGTTTTGTTGTCGTCATTTGAAAGATTGAGACTGTTTTTGGCTTGCATTTAGAGTAGCAAAACACATTTATGCATTAAAAAGAAGAAAGTGTCAAAATTTTGCGTTTCATGAGATTCATGTCAAGTATAAGCTGTTATTATATTATTTCCTTCATCTACGTGTGCTTCTAGTTTTATACCTTACTGAAATTTTCCAGTTTGCATGATTTTGGTTTATCACAAGGCTGAGCTTTGCATATTTGGTTATAATGATATATTATCTTAGATTACCTCAATATTTTGTGAGTTAGTGATGTACCTTGTTGTGATAAATGAGTATCCTTGGATGATATCCACAGTCGGTTTCTATTAGACCGCATCTGTATATGACATAAATCTTGTGCCAAATTAAGATAAAAAATAGTCTGAAATCCTTTAAAAATAGTGCTTGCAAGCAATTTGGCCATGTTGAAGTATAGAAATAATAGGAACTGTTAAGTTTCTTATTTTGTTAGACGAAGACTTGTGTGCGTACGATTTTTTCGCTTCATTAAGGTTGCATCTATGAGAATATTTCTGTGATCATTAGATTGTTTGTCCTCATTTAGCGTTGATCAGATATATTTTGACAAGTGCTTCTAGTTATACAACAGTCTAGATATATTTTAAGGTTTAAAATCCATCTTTCACATGCACACAAACATATATACACATTTAATGACATATATTTTATTCCTGTTGTGAATGTGAGAATGTCAATAAGAAACTTAACTCTGATTTTGACTTCACAAACAGAACATTTCAGTTCACAAGTTTGTCAATACTGATTCTACTGTCTGATGATATTTCATATTCATCTGCAATGCTTAGCTCTGAAGCTTGTCAAAAATCCCACTGGAATTCTGGGCATAGGGAAAATTGTGTGCAACAGAAATCCTCTTTCAAAGATAAGCGTAAAAGGCCAACACTAGCGTTAAGAGGTTGGAGAGCTTTGGCAATTGCTGGTGGAAGCTCAAATAAAGTATTTTCACTGTCTTCTTCTCAAATTCAGATTGCTTACTCTTCATAGTCGTTAACGTGCTTTGACAAGTATTTTGGTGCATTCTTGTTTTCAGATACTTTTTCCTTATGAGGAATTTGTAAAATTTTTCAATTCGGACAAGCCAGGTTTTCCTCCTTGTGGACTTTTAAACTGTGGAAACAGGTTGATGAAGTTCTTATTCTGCTACTAACTTATCTATCTCTAAAGTGTCAAGTTCTGACCCTTTTATCTTCAATGCAGCTGCTTTGCCAATGTGGTTCTTCAATGTCTTACATACACTCGGCCACTTTTTGCCTACTTGTTGGAGAAAGGGCATCGAGTAGAATGTAAGTATTTGAGTATTTTTTTTTTTGTGCATTTTTTTATTTTTGTTGAATTGTGATTTTCTTTCTTGGTATTTCCTCAACTCCTATTTGGGAATTCTTTCTTTTTCATTTCATTTGTATGTGCTCCAGGTCAAAGAGACGATTGGTGCTTTCTGTGTGAGCTTCAATTACATGTAGAAAGAGCTAGCCAAAGTTGTAACCCATTTTCTCCTATGAACATTCTCTCAAGATTGCCTAATATTGGTGGGAATCTTGGCTATGGGAAACAGGAGGATGCCCACGAATTTATGAGGTGCCTATTACTTGTTTAACATGTGAGAGTTGAAATTTGTGTAACATGTCAATAACATTCATTCATTTGTAGGTTTGCTATTGACACAATGCAGTCTGTGTGCCTTGATGAATTTGGTGGAGAAAAAATTGTTCATCCGAGATATCAGGAGACGACACTCATTCAACATATATTTGGAGGTCGCCTTCAATCCCAGGTAGCCCACATTCATGAAGCTGCCTTTTATTTATGTATTTATTTATTAGGAGTGGGGAAAGGTTTCATTGTGATCTTTTATTGTCGGCTTACATCTGACTGAATACAATTTACCCTAGTCCAATGTTAGGATGATTCTGAGTGTGTGCCCTATATATTTAGAAAATTCCAAACAGATCTTATTTACCCCTTGTCACTACATTTTTCTATTCATCAAATTCGTCGTTCAATGATCAAGCTGTTACTTGGGTTGCCATTTTCAAAAATATTGATTGTGATTAAGAAAAAATTGAAAAATGATTAAATTCCTTTTGCATACGTTAATTTTCATATCTCTCATACTTTTATTTGACCTTCTTTCCCGACCCTCAGGTTATATGTGCAGAATGCAATAATGTCTCAAACCAATTTGAGAATATGATGGATTTAACTGTTGAAATTCATGGAGATGCTGAATCTTTGGAGGAGTGTTTGGACCAGTTTACAACCAGAGAGAAGCTTCATGGGGATAATATGTATAAATGTGATGGGTAAGTGTCAATTTTGCGGCATGAGCACACATATATTTCATCTATATTCAGTGTAATTCCAAATCTGTAAATACTACGCTTTTGAGCATCAAGAGCGAGCACATTAGTTGAAAGTATTTGCTTGCTTTTACAATGGCCTTGCTGTTTCTGTATTTGCAGAAGACTGAGTGATTTTAAAATTGTATCTTATTTAGCTACTTTATTATAATCTTTCGTCATGGGTATTGAGTCAGTACACATAATCTACTTTCTTGCCCCTGATACTTTCTGTATAATATATTAATATTTTTATTTGGACTTAGGTGTGTGGATTTATTATAAGTTGGGGTAGTTTTATTTTGTAGGTAGTGAAAATAAATAAAAAATAAGGTATTTAATCTTAATTTCTAGGCCCTGCCTAGGCGTTGGTTGAGCGCCTAGAGGGTGCCTACTGACTTCTAGAACACTGGTATTTAGATGATTCCTCGATTGCAACACTATTGGGGCTGGTGTTTATTCTTATATTTCTCTGAATGAGTGCTCTTGATGATGATTCAGTTGTAGTGTAGAATGTTCTATATTCATTTCAACTCGTTGTTTGTGTAACATTAACAACGGATTGCCCTTTCAGTTGCAATGCTTATGTCATGGCATGGAAGCGCCTTACAATCCAGAGAGCCCCAAACATTCTAACAATTGCCTTGAAAAGATTTCAGGTCTGCTGTTTAACTCTGCCGTGTTGGTGCCTTTATAACAAGTTTCCATCTTGTTTGGGAATAATTTGTCCGTCTATATGCATCGATCTGAAAATCATTATATTAGAACTTCATTGTTTCCTTGGCATACTGATGAAAAGAAATGCACCTTCTTCTTTTGCAGAGTGGAAGATTTGGGAAGCTTAATAAGAGAGTGACTTTTCCCGAAACACTGGACCTCAAGTTGTACCTGAGTGAGTCAGAAGATGGAAATGACATTTACAAGCTATATGCAGTTATCGTTCACATTGACATGCTGAATGCGTCATTTTTTGGCCACTATATCTGCTATATTAAGGACTTAAGTGGAGACTGGTATAGGATTGATGACTGTAAGGTAACAGTTGCTCTGCTTTTTCGCCTTTTTTGTTTCCCAAGTGTCTTTTTCATTTTCTTTTGCTATTAAATTACAGTTGCATTGCTCCAATGTCTGATATATTTTGCATTTCAAACATTTTCTTGGTACTCGAGGACTTTACTGATGCACATAATCTAAAGTTAAATATAATATAAAAGAATATATATCTTGCACTTTTGGTGGTGTGCTTGGTAGTTGATAGGAGAGTACTGAGTAGTTCAACAGACATGCTGTTTTATAGTCATATCTCTAATATGTGCGTTGCGTTATACATTAGCTTAGTTTTATCTCAAATCCTTTCTCAGGTTGAACGTGTTGATTTAGATGAGGTGCTTTCACAGGGAGCTTACATGCTTTTGTACAGCAGGTAAATCCTATCGTGTCACATGCTTAATCAGAATCAGCAAATCATCAAATAGAATATTTATGCCTGCAACCATATTTTGGAGTTCATCTATTAACTTTCTTTTCAGAGTATCTAGTGACCAATGTCGTAAAAACCCGTGATCAATGTTTTGGAAATAATAGGTCAATTTATTGTAAATTTGTAAAATATTACAAAATGAAAATAAATGAGTCCAATTTAATGGGCATCAAAATATTACTCTAGTTAAATCAAAATTGTGATTAGGTAATTTAATGCTCCTGCACTGTTTTATAGGATTCGTGCCCGCCCCTCATGCCTACTTCCAGCTGAGCTGTTGCCAAAAGAAGTAAGCTCAAATGTGAAAATAAACGAACCTTCTGAGCCTTTGGCTGACCCTGTATGCATAGATAGTTCCATTGACTCTGACCAAGCTTTATCGGTCAAGTCTGAGAATGTGTTGCCATCCACTATAATAGGCACAGAAGACCATGCAAGTGTTGATATGGAAATCGAGACTTCTCAACCAAGGTCCCTCACGGTCAAGGCGATTGAAATGAATGGTGCAGAGGAATTGCCCATTTTGCCCAAAGAAGTTGCTTGTCAGTCAAATCCCACAAATATTACCTCGGTCAATGAAAGTTCTACTCAAGTGGGCCCCACCAATTGTGAGTCGTTGTCTGCTGTTTCTGATTTAGAGAAGGTGTGTTGTGGGAGTGAAAATGGGGGCAGATCCCATAATTCTACATCTGTGCTCAAAGAAAATGCTGTTTTCGTTAAGAAATCGGGAGAGGAGCCCACACCGAAGCTTAAGCCGCTTTTTGCTCCAGGTTTTCTTGAAAAGGGCCGCCAAAGGAGAATTGTCGAGCCGCTTTTTGCTCCAGGTTTTCTTGAGAAGGGCCGGCAAAGGAGAATTGTCAAGCCGGAGAATAGAGTGTCCAGAGAATGCTTTAAGTTGAATTCTGAAAGAGCATTAGGAGTTGCAGAATGGAGGTTAACGCCTGAAAATGGCACCTTATCGAACGGGCATAAGCCTTGAGTTACAAGGGAGAATCGGAAAGCGTATAATGGGTCTTTCAGTTTTAAGGACATGGAAAATGGAGAATCCACTGTAATGAGAGGCTCTAGTTAGAAGGGTAAAAGGCAGACGCGAATTATAAAATCTTCGGAAGTCTTGAAAAGGTATATATATGATGGTCCAAAGTGCATAAACACCTGATTTTCATGTGACACGAGCCATTGATTGGAAACTTCTTTTTAGATCTGAAAAAATACGCTGGAGATTAGTAATTAGCTGAGAAGATGGCATGATGAAGATTCATTCGTTACTTTGGAAGCTGGGAAATAATGAGGGTTAGCCAGAGATATTCTGTTCAGAAAGTGCGAGTCCCCTTTGCTCTTTTCTTTTTTTTTTTACCCATTTTTCGTCTTATTATATTATTATTGAATGATCCCATATTAGCATAAACTTTATGCGCCGGGAGATTTGTCCGGGATTTCAATATTTATAGAAATCTGGGATGCTCGTAACCCAATTCATTCAGATGTTTTAACTGGAACGATGAGTACCATTATTTGCACATTTTCATGTTGTGGAAGTTAATGAAATTGGTTCTTATTAGATACCCCGTAACTTAAATAAAGCATGCAATCCCATTTTTAGAATTTTTGCCTAGGAATTATGATAATTTTGAAATATATTTTTGTGTATAGATAATAATGTGTTTTGATGAATCTAATTTATTTTTAATAAAATTTCTGTCATAACTATTTATATTACAACTAATAAATGCTTATTATTTTACCTCAAACAGATAAAGAAATCAACAGCTCATACTAGAAAAGTAAACTTTGTGGGTAACAATATTTTCAGGTTCCTTGCAACCACTCTTTCAATTTATATACATATTTTCACACACAAATGTTTCAACATATATACCTCACCCCTTTATATAGGTGTGTGACTTTATTGTCCAAAACTGCCTGGAAGGGCTGCCCAGACTGCCCGAGTTACCTGTTCGTACTGCCCGAACTGCCCAATTCTATTATCCCAAAAACGTAGAATTTTTAGTTATGTATTTTTGTGATATTGAAGGCATGAAAATCAAGCTTAATAATAGCATTATCTAACTTATAATTTTAATAGGATATACCCCATCTCTCGTTTTTCCCCAAAATCGTCGCCAATCTTTAATCTCGCCGAGGCAATCTCAGTTTTTTCTATTTTCTTTCCCGATGGACTCTCCGAGCATGGTGCCGCCGGCAGAGCCCCTGGACCTCGTGGCCATCTTGTTGCTGTTCAACGAACCGATTCGCCTGACCTGGCCAGCTAGTTTATCGAGTTTGTTATACGCGGTATGGTATTTCATATCTAAGTGATCAATTTGTAAATCCTCTGTTATAAGTTGCTTTTTTGCAGGGTTTCAATTTTCGGAATTACCAAAATTTAAGTTACCGACTGAGATACACTTTCATCTGGATATGAGTATTTTGAATTAACGATCATTCGGCTTTGTTTTGGAATCCGGTCCTACATGTAACATATGTACCAAATTTTGATTATTTGAACCAAAAAAAAAAAGAAAAATAGATAATACAACAAATTATAACAGCATATATCGTGAAGTAAGTATCAATTCACCCGTTCCAACAAAAACGCTACACAATATATATATATACCTCTCACCCTTGACGTCATCGAAAATCCATTCCTCACTCAGCAAACACGAAAATGGAAATTACTAAAACCATAACAACACTATTGAAAGAATTTCCAAAATTAATTACATCCACATCAAAACCGACGCAACCGCCACCACTAGCCCGACCAATGAGCCAGAAACCGCTTTAGTCCTCCAAGCGCCGCTAGCCGGCGGCACCGTCACTTCATCGTCAACTTCAACATCCGCCAGTTCAGCATCGGGCCCTGGGCCCGGCGCTGGGGCTTGGGCGGGCCCTTCCACCTCAACATCAGGCCCATCAGCAACCGGCAGGTCATCCTCTGGACTCTCTGCCGGGGCTTCGACTTCCGGCGCAGCCGCAGCCGCAGCTGCCTCCGGCGGCGGCGCCGAGACGTTAACCGGGCGCCAGCTGCCATCGATCCCGGGCGCCACAATAACGTGTGAGACGCTGAGTACGGATATGTTGTACGGTAAGGCGGCCACGGAGCCCTCGAGCTTGGACTCGACTGCGGCTCCCTTCATTGCCGAGCCGAAGAAGATTCCGTCCTGGTTATGTGCTACGTTGATGAAGCCCTGCAGATCGTCTGCTGTCCCCGTGGACTGGTAAAGAGTGGTGATGATGGTGTGGTTGCCCCTCAGTTTGTTGAGCTTGAGGACGTTGTAGTAGTCGAGGAGGACGTGGGTGCTGAGGATGCGCTTGATGACGTCATCGGGTTTGCTGGCGAGGTCATCGGCCGCCAGGCGGGCGTTGGTGAGGGCGAGGATGGTGAGGGGCTTGCGGTTGTTGATGGTTTCGGATAGGTGGGTTTGGGAGAGGAGGGCGTTGAATTGGGAGAAGTCCGGGTATTGGTCGAGGATGTGAGTGATGTTGTGGGCTGTGATGGTGGTGGAAAGGAGGAAGAAGGATGTAGTGAGGATGAGGGAGATGGTTGAGGGACTCATTTTTGCTGAAATCGTTTTAGCAAAAATGAGTGTTTGTTTGGGGTGAGGATGAGGATTAGGATTGTTGTTGTTGTTGTGGTTGTATGTATCTATATATATGGGGGATTATGAGGGAGAAGAAGGAGTGCGTGGTGTGTTGAAGTGAGTAGGAGAGAAGAGTGCTCTTTTCCACACAGTTTTGGATGGTTTTGAGAGCATCACAAATTTATTCACCGGTTTTCAGCATGGGTGCTAAATTTTGTTGGATGAGCTTTCATGTTTAATTTATATTACTTTCAGTTTCAGATTAATGTACACGTGAAAATTCATTCGAGGAATTGATAATTCTTTTATAATGTGTATCAGTGGTAACTATTTGACCAAATGGAACGAGAAATCTGTTGGTTTCAATTTCACTAATTATCTACATTTTTCCTTCATTCTTAGTATCATAGCCAATACGGAAGTGGGTGGCATACTCCCTATAAAGCCATCAATTTGGGTCAAAATTCCATCCAGTGTATTATTATTATTATTCATAATCCCTCACAGTTACAATAATCAACCATTACATTTTTAACAATCAAAAGTCAAATAATTTGTATTTATAATATTTATTACTAATCAATTTTTTTAAAAATATGATACTTCGATTATCAATTAATCTTAATTTTTCTATCATTATATATACATATATATAATACTTTATAATTTATACATTGAAATAATGAACATCTAGTTTAGTGAAGCTTCAAATATTAACAGACAATTATCAACAAATGGTGTTTGAGTACAGCCTCGATCAAAATATCAAAACAAAAAAATTATTTCTAGGGATAAGTCTAGTCCTGTGATCAAACTGCACAAACGATTTTTGAGTTCACAGAACGAGCCTCGATCCAAATATCAAAAATAATTTTATTTCCATTAGGATGAAGACTAGTCCTGTGATCAAACTGCACAAATTTTAGAAGGCCGAATGACTCAATACCCTAACAAAATATTTTTATTATCCCAATGGATTAAATCCGTTACGATACACCTCCACAGTGAAGCAGTATCCTCATTACAAAAATATACTCCTTCAATACCAAAAAGGAAATTACGAACTGGTAAAACTGTCCACAAATGGTGCAAGAAGTAACACATATTATCGTTGCTCTGTTGGATGTACAAAGCTCCGCCTTTTTTAATTAATCTAAGAAGATTCTTTCCATGGAGTGTGTACATCCAACAGCTTGTCAGGGTTACCAGTTTTGTTTAACCAAAGACTATAAAACAAAGCAAATTGTGAACCAGTTGGGACATTAAAGAGCATTTCTTGTCTAGGAAATCTAAGTTGGTAAAAGAAACAGGAATTGGAGAGCACGAGCACCGTAACTGATCAACATCAGAACAGCCAAACAGAAAATAAGTAACTAAATAATTGAAGGTGCCTGCCAGAAGTTCTTCCAACATCTTATCAGCGCGTAAGAGTTTTGGTCTAGACCATAGACTAGCACGTCTTTTGGTACTTCAAAAATAGCACTCATCCGTTGGAGCTCAAAAGGATAAATGACAATAATATCCATTTCAAAAAACGAGTCATCAGAAGCCAAGATGAAAATTTCAAGTATCTGACCCAGGTTCATGAAGCAAGCCCCAAGTGCTCGAGTCTAATGGAACAAACTATTTGAGGAGAGATAATCACGTATGCGCAGACAATGCAATCAAAAGTAGGCATCTAGCTAGCAGAGTGTAGCCAATGAAGGTCGAAAAGAAGGCATCTAGCTAGCAGAGTGTAGCCAATGAAGGTCGAAACACAAGTGCAGAAGCACAAAACCAATGAAGAAGCAGTCGCAGGATGAGACCTCGACACAAAAAACAAAAGCATAGCAGTTTTAGCACTCAATAAGTTTCTAATGAAGATTACCACATTTATATATTGGTTCATAATTAGAAAAGGATCAATGGTCTAACAAGATAAAAGCATCAAACTTACTACTGAAGTAGTAACGACATAACCCAATCCAGAAGTCGAAGTTTCTCTGAGGGCGACACCCCCCCTTACATATGCCGTAAATAAGTCCAAGCACAGTAAACACACAATTCGAAAAAGTTCTGCATAGATTTAAAGAGTTCTCAAGAGTTCATCGCAGTTCAGCTCCTGCTCCTCCGCCTTTCCTTAATGCCATTTCTGCACATGACAAGACAAGTGAAAACACGGTTATGATATAAATTGAGGTGGCTGCAAGCCTATGCATTAATGCATATGTTCACATATTCAGACAGCTAGGAAACGAAAATACACGATTGTACCGACAATAAATAATATGAGTGTGTAGCATAATGTTTCATGTGATTATCATCTCATCATACCTCTTCTTAACCACACAATTGAATTTTATTTTAACAGGCAGAAGAAATTTATCCATATCACAGTATAACTAAAATTAGTTAGGCCTGACAAAAAAGCTCACATTATAAGATTGACTGTGACCCAAAAGCATGAGTACAAGGTGAACCCATATCCATGTCCTTAAATCTACCAAAGAAGCTTATATAAGTATCAAAACCAATATCCTAAGAAGCATTTTATTGAACTCAATTAATGAGTGTTTCCCAGAAGAAGTCAGTAATAGCTTACTCATCTTCAAAATAAATTTCATAAAACCAAAAACAAACACAATCATCAAGACACATTAGACATTAGTGGGAAAAAAAAAGGAAAAAAAAAAGGACTTAACCCATTTGCATATGGCACCTCATCTCTTCCACGATAGGGTGACCTGCTGTAGCTGCGACCTCTAGGCGACAAACTGCGACGACGAGGAGAACGACCACGAGGACTGTAACTCCTGTGCACCAGAAAACCGAATTCAGATAAGACATTAATATGACCATAAAATCTAAGTGCTCAATAAAATACACGCAACAGTTAATTTCCAAACTTCCTTTTCCCTCTTAGGAGTGGCAATCAGAATGTACATTACTATAGGCTTTCACCTTTCAATCCTTTTTTATTTTCCCCACGAGTAACGTTACCTTCTGCCATAACTTGGGCTCCGGCGATATCTAGGGGGGCTACGGCTCCTACGCCTCCCTAAACCACCACCACGATTACGGCACTCACGAGCAAAATGGCCAGGCTCCCCACATTCATAGCATTTGGAATCAGATCCACCACGGCCGCCACGACCCCCACCACGGCCGCCTCCGCCGCCACCACCTCTCGAGTTGTGTGAAAGCTCGACTCTCCAGCCATTTTTACCTGTTTGGACAACAAAAAACAATAAGTTCCAGCAACACTGTAATTAAGACAACCACAAATTTGATGAATGACGGGTAATTTTGTGTTATGTACTTATTGTTGGCAAAGCTCAAGAAAGTAAGAATAATAATAGATTTAAGCAGAATTGACAGTAGAACTCATATTTCTATGAAACAATGCAACACAAAGACAACAATAATCTGAATCTTACAAATGAAAAGCGAAAAATTGCTAGTACTTGTGAATTGTTCAGGATATCACACACACAAGTGAATAAGAACCATAGCTCACCATCAATCTCCCGGATAGCATCCTGGGCATCTCGACGGTCATCAAAATCTATGAAAGCATAACCAGGGGGCCTCCTTGCAACCCACACACTGCACATAAATTCAAGTAAAAAAAAATACAACACATTTATCCAAGTATAACAGACAAAGATAATTTGCAGAACAACCATCCTAAAAACCAATAGCAACTACAATGAAAATTGAAAGATTTTTACATTTTTATCTCAATTAAATCGGGATCTGGTTCGAACAAAAAAATAGAAAGATTACCAAGAGATATCAAACCTTGTCACCATGGATAGCTGTAGCTAAACCTTTAATTGTCAGATATTTACCCTCACCTGATACTTTTCTTTAAGGAAATGATAATTTAGAAGAAAACTGACAACTCATAAAGCTGTCAAATAAAAAACAAATAATTTACCTTCTGATAACTCCGAACACACGAAATTCATCCTCAAGATCACGTTCGCTTACTCGTGGATCAAGATTCCCAACATACACTCGAGACATCTTGAGTAATCAATAGTTCACCACTCCTAACAATGAAAATTAAAAAAAAAAAAAAAAAAANTAAAAAAAAAAAAAAAAAAAATCAATCACACGTAAGAATGATAGATCCACAGATATCCTACAGACAAGCAGAGAGAATCGGCTAATCAAATAACTGCGCTTTCGGATACGAGAGAACGAGGGAGGCACCTGATGAACGCGGAGACGGAAAAACCCTAGCGGCTAGCGAAGACTGGTTTGATTTTAAAACACGGGTTTTTGTCGGCTAGGCTTTTTATTGTTGAAAGGAGGAGGCTGTCCGGCCCAAATTTAACTACACCATATAATGACGTCAATTGGTAGCCCAAATAAATCGTCAGGCCCATTGGTATGGCCTTGTCCAAATATTTCGATGGAGCTTGCCAACAATCTCGCTGGTATAATATCCGTGTATTACATTGGTGCTAGTCAAAAAATTTATACTTAATTTTAAAAAATTAAAAGTAAAATTTTTATTTTAATTCTAGATACTTTTTAAAAAAAATATTTACATTCAAACGACTTATTTAATGATAAAACAGTAACTATATAAAGGTATGTGGAGAGTGATTGAAAATTGATAGCTTCATGAATGTTACAAAATTTATTATTCTTTTCCTTTGCTATCATTTGGTACGTACTTATGTTATGCACGGGAAAGTAATAATACGATTGTATTATAAACTAAATATATAAATTAATTATCATTTTCTCATGAAAACATTCTTACATTAATAATTTGAATTGTATTATATTTAATTATTTATATAAACAAAATATTCATTGAGATTCATATTTGGTTTCAATAACCTATTTGATCCGGTCAAATTGGCATAATTTGGTCACCTGAAACGCAACAAAAGTTGTGTCATATTTTTGGACGATTTTTTCAGAGGGGAATTTTCATTACAAGACCCAACTTTTTGTAATTGTATCGATTTAATGGCTGAATTTTATTTTTTCTCAATAGAAGGCTCACATTTTAGACTATTTTCAATTTAAGACCTACTTTTTTAGTTAATCCAATAAATTTTATTTTTTGACATAAATGTGTGAACCAACTATTATGTACACAAAATATTATTATTATTTTTTCTTGTAAATAATTGAGATGGTAATTTATATAAATTATAAATAACGATGTAACTAGAGCATAGTGACTACTGACTAGTGGTAGTGGCTACCTTTATCACTAAAGTGAGTAATAGTGGCAAAACCAATAGTTTTCGAAAATATATATCTACAACAGTTTATCACCTCCGACCCCACACCGCACACATGCTATTAGCTTAGCTATACATAAATCAGACAAATGAGCACGGCACATCACCTTTGCAACCACAACCACTACTCATTATCCAACTTTCCGCCAGTGAAAAGAAATGGACAACTCCGGCCGCCGCGCTTTCGACGTGATAGTCATCGGCGCCGGCGTCATGGGCAGCTCCACCGCTTACCAGACGTCCGCGCGCGGTCTCACCACCCTCCTCCTCGAGCAGTTCGACTTCCTCCACCACCGCGGCTCCTCCCACGGCGAGTCCCGCACCATACGCGCCACATACCCTGAGGACTACTACCCGCCCATGGTGCTGGAGTCGGCGCGCCTCTGGGAGCAAGCCGAGGCCCAAATCGGGTACAAAGTCTACTTCAAGACCAGGCAGCTGGATATGGGGCCGTCGGACAACACATCCCTGCTCGCCGCCGTCAACAGCTGCCGAAAATGTTCTATTCCGGTCAGGATCCTCAGCTCCCGCGAGGTGCTCGAGGAGTTCTCCGGCGTCTTCAGGATTCCGGCAGACTGGATCGGCGTCGTCACTGAGCTCGGCGGCGTTATCAAGCCGACCAAGGCGGTGTCCATGTTCCAGGCGCTCTGCGCTCGAAACGGCGCCGTTTTGAAGGACAACGCTCAGGTGGTAGACGTGAAGAGGGACGAGGGGACTAAGGAGATCGTCGTTTTCACGGGGAATGGGGAGGAGTACCGGTGCCGGAAATGCGTGTTTACGGCCGGCGCGTGGGCGGGGAAATTGGTGGAGAAGGTTAGGGGTTTGGTCCTCCCGATTCAGCCGCTGGAGACGTCTGTTCATTACTGGAGGATCCGCGAGGGGCACGAGGGTAAATTCACCATCGAGGCCGGGTTCCCGACGTTCGCGAGCTACGGCGAGCCCTACGTGTACGGGACGCCGTCGCTGGAGTTCCCGGGACTGATCAAGGTGCCGGTCCACGCGGGGAGAGCCTGCGAACCGGAGGACCGGTCCTGGGGGACGTCGGCAGCGCTGGTGGAGGCGGCGCGAGGGTGGATCGGGGGTCAATTTGGGGATCTGGTGGATGGGGATGGGCCTGTGATGACGCAATCGTGCATGTACTCGATGACGCCGGACGAGGACTTCGTGATCGATTTCCTGGGCGGCGAGTTCGGGGAGGACGCGGTGGTTTGCGGCGGGTTCTCCGGGCACGGGTTCAAGCTGGCGCCGGTGGTGGGGCGGATCGTGACGGAGATGGTGGCGGATGGGAGTGTGGAGGGCGTGGATCTGACGCGCTTTAGGTTGGGGAGATTTGACGGGGGTCGTAAAGGAAATGCCAAGGAGTTTGAGGATCAAGTCAAATTGCATTAAACTTTTCTTTTTCCATTTTGTAATAGTCCCGGCTATTTTCCATTTTGTTCATTCCTTTTGCGTTTTTATTTAAATAAATTTAATGTGATCCCACGTATAAGAGTATCAGAGTCCGTCCTGAACATTAATAGGCCTCGGGTTAAATACGAAAAATAGTGTCCCAAAGTACTTCGTTTTTTCTAAAAAATAAAATGATGCATTTCCAATAATACCAACAATGATCCAATATTTTTTTCTAAAAAATAAATTTTGTATAATATTTTATTACAACTTCACCACAAAAGTTAAAGACAAAGAGTCTAATAAAAATCTCATAAGGCATACAGAAAGATAATGTCTCGAGCCGCTTTCACATTCCAAAAGATGATGTCACTAGTCCTTCAATAGAAAAATAATGTCTCTAGAACAATTTTGGATGCATCAAATAATCACCTTTTCCATCGGCTGAGTAGGATTGTCCGTATGACATGGCCGAAACTAGGCTGATAATGAAATGAACTGGTATAATATGTCAAATTTTATTTAGAATAAATCTTTTTAAATAAAAGGTTCAAAATATCCTAAAATTGTTGAAAATAATTAACATTTTTTTAAGCAAGTGATGCTGAAAAAAAAAAAAGAAAAAAAAAGAGGGACCAATGGTGAATAAGAAAAATAAAGGTTTGAAAGGGAAAAAATAAATTTGGGAAACGTAAATTAACTTTACCGTTTAAATTTGAGAAATAAGAGAAAGATGGAGATTGAGGAAGATGAACAGACAAAGAGAGGATCGAGACAAAGAGAGTCTGGAAAAAACAGAGAAGAAAGGTTGAGTAATTGAGTTCGTTTGCTGTGACTAAAAACATATTTACAATTTTTCTTTTTCATTTTTAAAATTTTAAATAATAAATAAAGGTACATATTAGTTATATATAATATATAGACTTGCTGCTTGTGCCCCATCCGCCAAATTGGGCTTTGTTTCTTAAATATTACATTAAATAAACACATATGGTAACTATATATAATATATGGGTTGTTGTTGACTTGGTGCCCCTCCATCAGTTTGGGCCCTGGGTCGTAGCCCATGCTGCCCTGGGCCAGGGACGGCCCTGAAGAGTATTACTCGTCGATCTAAGCATCATTCGATGCTACTAGCGCATAATCCGTCTAGCACGAGAAAGCAATATTCAGTGATAATTATAATTTTAGATGATTAAAGATATAATAACACATAACATGTAGAGAATTAGAATAAATCACAACCACATGTATGTTTACATATTTAAAAATAAAATTGAAAACACAACCATTTCCTCGAATGCGAATTTTAACTAGTGTCAGAGCTGACGATAAGGTTCTTATTCCTAAGCTCAATCATACTATCCGGTTTGTGGGTACTATTCAAGTTTCAACGCAGGTAGTTTCTACTCATGGTTTCCTATGTTATGACAATCAATAAGAGTCAATGTCAGTTTCTGTCGCACATCGACTTACTACTGAAGAGCTCTATATTCAGTCATGGGCAGTTGTAAGTTCTTTCCAATGTCACGAGTCACGTGAGTTTGAAGATAATGATTTGTGGTGATGGTGATTCTAACGATAAAAAAACTACAAATGTTATATATAAAGAATTGTTTAATAATATTTAGATTTACTTTTGTAAATCCTTTTCTTTTAATTGATTAAATTATAAATTTTACTTTTATTTGTATTTTAATTACTTTCTTCTTTATTATATCGTTTTCCGTGTAAATGCTCGAGCTAAAACTAGTTGTACATCAAAATCCATTAAGCCTTAATGGTAAAAGAATAAAATAAAAATGATCAATTACACCACTCGATACATGGTGGTGAGCTTTTGAAAGACGATTAAATATTAATAAATGTATAATTCATCCTAATTTTCCAATCCGCATGGAAACATTCTCAGTGGTTTATTTAATTTGCTGATCAAAAAGTTGTTTAACCAAACACTATTTTTGTTTTTTTTCCCCTAAGGGTGCGATTAAATTNGAACCAGAAAAGTGAGATGAAAAAAATGAAAAAAGCCAATTTTAAAAAAGGAAGATAAAATTGAAATTGTAAATGGATATGCAATTAACTAATAAGATCGATAATTACAAATGTGTGAGTGCATACAAAATATTTTATTTTGGAGTATATAATGTAACAACTACTTATTTTTTTATTGTGCTGGTGGAATTAGTAGATAAAAAAGTGAGATGAGATGTTTTCGTAAACATTTCTATTTCATTTTCAAATTCAATAACATAAATATTATTAACAAGCAACAATGACAAAAAGCTTGAATGCAACAAAATACCCAAAATGCTGGAAACCAAATGTCGCCGTGAAATTCCTTTTTCAATATATTTTTCTCATTTGAACCGTGTTGCCGTGAAATTCCTTCCCAGTTTCTCACTCGATCCATGCAGTGATGCATTTGTTCATCTTATATGGTGATCCCACACCTTTCTACTATTGAAAGGGCAAAAAATAACCTCTGTACATGGTTCGGAACATTCAGTCCAACATTCATCGCTCGATTTCTCAAAGTTCCTTTAATAAACTGATTCACAGATGTTAACACCGGACTTCCAAAATTACCACCTTAATAAATATAACAGACAAAGGAAACAAGAACAAGTTACACGTATAATGATATTTATACCAATAAATTCCTCCTTGTTGCATACTAACATGTCACAGCCACTATCAAATTCTTCTGCCAGTCATACAGATNAGAAAAGAAAAAACCATTATATATTGCGCGTCTGGCAACGAGTAACTCAAGCTTAAATCAAACTTGCAGTAGACTGCAATCATAAGCATGGCTTTTCTACTCTGTGCTATCTAATGACCTTCTTTCCTCTTATTGGACAAACACTAAGACACCTGTGATTTATCATAAAAGGAGAGGAAATCGCAGGTTCCTGGTTCCAAATAATAAATGAATGAACCACCTAAATGTCAAACTCGATGATTTACACAGAAAGCTTACTAACTTTTATTTCATGTGCACCAGAAGCTTTGGTATCACGTCACTTCCCCGGAAAGAATGACCTGAAGAAAAATAGCAGTTGTGATGTGTACTCGCTTTTAATTTATTCAGGAAATTACAAAACAAGAACAGTAATGATCATTCCAGAATTCAACCTCTTTTTTAAATTTAAATTGTAATCTTTTTAAAATTTTAGTTATAATCTTTTCAGTTATATTGACATGTGATTATGACATTTGTATTGGAACATATAATATTTGAAACAAATATGATAGCCTACATCATTAAAGGCCAACTTATGTTTACAAATTAATCTTATTAACAACTCTACAATATAAATAATTCAATGATCAGAAAAGATCAAACAAAATTAAAGCTTTTAGCTCGAATATCTTCCACAATCACGCAGAATAGATTATTAGTTGATGAACAGGAGAAGGCCGAGGAGACCAGATGTACAAAATACAGTGTCTCACAAAAAAATGATTTCATGATGATATCACATAGAAAGGAGATTCTTGCTACTTCACACTATATATTTTAGAAGCAAGATTATAATAATACAATAGGAAAAAGTAACCGCTTGGAACATACGGCAAATTCACATGTATAAAAGGATCAAAATACAATATACTAATAAAATTAATGACAATGGGATTAGGGTAAATGCTTCAGGGGTATAAGACATACCGGATTTTTCATTTTCTCAGACAACAAAAGTTGCAAGCATAGCATGCAAAAACGCCCAATAGAAAATGACACCAAGTCGTAAAGCAGGTTTTCGCATTAATGTCCTATCGCAGGACACCCTGACAGAAACCATAAATTAGAAATAAATACCAAGATGACAATAATAAAATGCACTAAGGTACAATAGTAATGACTCTTAAGTCTTTACCACAATCCATCAACCAAGTCTGAGACAGGTCTTGTAAACCTTGGGACAATTTTTGAAGTAGTGAGTGACTTGAAGCCGTGTGCTGAAGTTCACAAGAAGCAACATCAAAAGTTGTTAGATAAGAAAATTGCGCCAGACAGAAACTTAAATGGTCACCATTTATAAAAATATGGATAAAAAGCAATTTTACCTTTATCATCATCATCATCCTCCAACCTGTCACTACTATGATCTGTATCTATTGCAATAGCAACATGATCATTGTTTGATTTCCGCAGACTTCGAACTTGGGGTACAACAGTTGCGGGTGATGGCCATTTGTTATTCTGGTCAATACACTATAGGAGTCAATAAAAATGTATGTAAAATCACCAATGCCCATACACATCCCATCTAACCTACTAGAATTTATCCCTTTCTGACCATCGCAATCATTATTTTCCTAAAACTGAAGCAAAGCCAATTTTCCATGCTGTATATCATCCAAAAATAACATATAAATGTGAACTAAAAGAAAACTGGTCAATAGGAAAAAACTATAATGTTTACTGAAGACCCTATTGGTAACACCAATAATATAAAATTAACACATTTCAGGGGACAAAAGATTCTTCAAAACCTATTGAACATGAAACATGTTATTCTTAGGCTTAGAACCCTCGTGCTAATTCAACAACCATCATGTTAAGGGAAGACACTTGGTGCAATCAGATGAACAAGAGTCAAAATAATTAAGCAGCATACCATTTGCTCAGCCTCCATAATTTCTGAATTAGGTTTTGCAGCTTTTGCAGATTCTACTTCATCTTGAAGCATGAGTAGTTCAGATTCCTTTTCACGCAAAGAATTCTTAAGATGCTGTTCCTTTTGTGCTAATTCTTTGACTTTACATTTCTCTTCAACCAACAGCATATCATTGTTCTGGGCTACCACATGAAGGTTCTCCAACTCCGATATCAAAGCCATAATCTTCTTTTCCAATATGTCTTTATATTCGTCAATTGGGAGATTCTTCAGGTCATCCGAAGCTGAATTATGCCCCTGTACCCCAGAGAGCAAAGCATCTAGCCAAGATAGCAGGTCAAGAACTTCACCCGAACTCCTATGCTTAGTTAGATG